AGGGATCTTTTCATTTATTTAGGAGATCTTTAATTTCTTTCTATATTTTATAGTTTTCAGAGTATAAGCTTTGCACTTGTTATATTTATTCTTAAGTATTTTTTATGCTATTGTAAATGCAGTTGTTTTCTTAATTTTATTTTTGGATTGTTTATAACACGTGTATAGAGAAACAATTGATTTTGTATATTGACCTTGCATCTTTGCTCTGAGTCTGTGCTTTACACAGGGGCGGGAACTTTTGAATATGCTGGAAGCAGGGCAAGGCTGAGGGCCAGGCCACCTGCTGGCAGGTGGCTGACACTGACATCCAGACAAGGGGTGGGGTGGCCAGCCTGGGTGGTAGCAGTGGGAGAGAGAAGTGGGTGGACTCGAACCACTGGCCTGGGCTGGGGTTGGGGAAAGGGAAACAGCCGGGACAAGGGCTGGGGTTTTTTCACCAAGGTTGGGGAGGAGTGCGTGGTCATTCCATTTGGAAACTGTGGCTTTGATGTGCCTTTAACACAGCCCAGGAGGCAGCTGAAAGAGCTATCAGGAGCTCAGAGCAGCTGTCGGCTGAAATAAAATCCTGGATGTCAGAGAGACAGAGAATGCGTGAGACCGCCCAGCGCCCAGGAGCGCAGCACTGAAGGGATGGACACAGGAAGCTGACAGTGGCCGAGCCGCTGGAGAGCCAGGAAAACCACAGGAAGTCGGACTGGGCTGGTGCAGAGCGTGAGGAGGGGGTGGAGAGCCTCTAGAGTGGGAAAGGATGTCCCGCTGTGTCACAAGCTGCTAAAGTCAAGGAAACCAGCAGAGGTTGTAGGTAACTTTAGCCAGACTGTGGCAGGGCAGAAACCAGACCGCAGTGCATTAGGGCTAGCTGGGAGGTACAGAGGCAGACTGGGAAGGGTTTGGCCTAGAAGGGGGGGGGGGAGTGGAGAGGGTGAAGACACAGAGTGGGGGCTGGAAAGGTGGGGGCAGGCCCTGGTGCGGTGGCTCTTGCCTGTAGTCCCAACACCTCAGGAGCCCGAGGTGGGAGGATCAACTCCCTTGAGGCTGGGAGTTCAAGGTTGCAGTGAGCAATGATCGCGCCACTGCACTCCAACCTGGGTGACAGAGCAAGACCCTGTCTCAAAAGACAAAATAAAACAAAACCAGAAAGGTGGGAGTGCAGGAGGGAGTGTTACCGGCACGTGATCTCCCTCAGTCCTTGTGTCCAGGAACAAAGAACTGAAACCAAATGCCAAAGTGGGGAAGCATGAGCAGAAAGTTTTATTTAGCAAACACACTCCCAAATAGACATGCAAGTGGGCTGTTAAAAGTGACTGATGATCAGCAAAGTTATTTAAGCAAACAGACGACAGTATACTCAGAAGGGGTCTGAGCGGGCGCACGTCCAATCGGACAGTGGCCCTGGGGTCTCTTTGGGCTCCCCATTTCTTTCCTCCTTCCTGCACTGCTGTCTCCCTGCCCACGAGGATGCTGCCTCCTCCCCTCCAGCAGGCAGGGAGCTTTTTACTTTATTAGTTCAGGCCTGGATGTGTTACGGCTTCCAAAGCCTAATCGAGGGGTGATAATTCATGGTAGTGATGGTACAATGAAGCCGGAGTTACCTGAGGACACTTCTGCCCTCCATCTGCACGGGCGCCCCCAAGGGGCCTCCCCAAACTGGAGTAAACAGGTGTTTTGCAATGTTACCATCAGCTGACCACAGCTTTTGTTTTCATCACTCTGTAGTCCAACTTTTGTTCCTGTCATTCCGCCCACCTGTGGTCCGTATTCTGGACTCCTGGCTCAGGTGGGAGGGGAGCGGAGGTAAAGCCCCCACCCCCATGCTGCCTCTCCGCCCCACTCTGCACCCCGATACTGTCCTCCCATCTCCTCACCGCATCTGTGCCCCCCCCAATACTAGGCGTGTTGAGAAAAATGTTCAACCCTTGGTGGCGGGGCCTATTGGAACCACTGCCCTGATGACAGTTACGTCTACCGGGACCCGCTAGAACGGCTGATGAGGGGCCACAAGCTCAGTTCCTAAGGACGTGTTTTAATGAGAAGGTTCCTCCTTTTCACAGAGATCAGCATTTCCTTGCAAACTGGGGAGGAGCAGCTGAAGGCACAGCTCCCGGTGAGCCGCACCGGCCTAACAGCCAGCGCCCAGAGTGCTGAGCAAGCTTTGCTTCCTGGGCGGGCGCAGGGCAGTGCTGAGGGGCTCAGGCCCAACTCCCAGAATCGCCGGCCCTCCAAGAGATCTCGGCCAGCGCAGGCCCGGGGGGAGGCGGTCAGCACTTTTTCTCCGTACGCTAACCACTTCCCAGCCTCCTCGTTATTCTTAGCCTGAGGGAGTGTGCAGCTGTCTGTCTGCATCTGACAGATTCCTGGTGATGGGAAGGCCACCCCAAGGCAGGTGTGACAATTAAGGGGCCTGAGGAGGGGTTGGGAGGACTTACCCAGAGTCCTGGCGCCCAGGAGGCGGACATCTGCTCGGAGTTAGGCTCACTGCCTGTTCGATCAGAACCACCCAGAGCCCCCAGCCTCTTGGTACTCGGGACCCTGTTAGTTATTTCTCTGACTTCAAGGATTTTGCTGACCAGACTGTATTTGTTGACAAGGATGCTTCTCTATCAACAACAGCTGCTGATAGAATGGCCTGGCCCGAGGTGACCCCCGCTGCGACAGGACTCCTGTACCACGGAAGAAGTGTCCACCCTCGGAATGGCGTCCGCAGTGGAGCTGGCTTCCAGACCTCCTGTTACAGAGCTGCTCTTCCGGGGCTTCGGTGGCGATTCGAGTGCCCCGTCAGTATTTCCGGGCAGTGACTCTGCCCTGGCCTGGTACCTGTGAATATTACTCAGAGTAAGTGACTCAGTAAACTAGGTTGACGTCACCCCATCTTTGGGAGAGGCAGGTCAGGTTGGTCTCCCCGGCCTCTCGCTGGAGTTTGGGGCTGTTGGTGACTTTGCAGTCAAGGCCCCAGTGACGGAAACCTCACCAAACCCCTGCCTAGAAGGACCACTCTGAAACTACCTATCGCCCTCAGAAGTGGTCTTGCTGCATGAAGTCCAGCCCAAGGGACAGGCACGTGCACTGAAGGGCTCTCATTTGCTGAGCACTCACTTCGTGCCAGGTGGTTCTTCATGACACCGAGCAAACGACGCGAGGCTCAGCGGGTGAAGCTGTGGCCAGACTCACGGACACAGGTTTTTCTGACGCCAAGCACGGGGGGTTCCGAGGCTTCTGAAGCTCATCTTTCGTCAGCCCCGACAGCTTCGGTTCTCGCTGGGAAAGTTCTGGCTGACGGGGAGGAAGGCATCCATGAGACCTGGAACACCAAGGGGTCCCCCATAAAATGGTCCAGGAGAGCAGGCCCTCCCAGCACATTGCTGCTATCTCCCACCTGGTTCCCGGCAACTGTGGCCGGCAGGCCCAGGGCTGCTGACTTCAGGTCCAGCAGGGGCCCTGTGCAAGGTGAGCCCTGTGCAAGGTGAGCTCGTTCAGGTGTCAGCAGGAAGACTGGCCGGAGACTCAACGGAGCTGGTTTGGGCCTGTTTTCTATGTGGTCCAGGACAGCATCACCTGGGAGCTTGTAAGCAATTCAAATTCTCAGGCCCCACAGGCGATTTGGATGCTGGCTACAGTCAGGGAACCACAGGGTTAAATGATCCCAAGGGTTTTTCCAAGTCCTTTTTGGGCGACATATGGTCCCACTGTGTCACCGAGGCTGGAGAGCAGTGGTGTGATCATAGCTCATTGCAGCCTCCAACTCCTGGGCTCAAGCCATCCTCCTGCCACAGCCTCCTGAATAGCACGTGCCATGACGCCCAGCTAACTTTTGTCTCCCAAGCTGTCCCCTTGCTAAGCTGCCTCAGCATCTCTCATCCTGGGCTCCCCACTCCTCACGGCTTGTACCATGGGTCCCCTTGGAAATCCAGGCCTGCGGAGAGCCAGGGGCAAGAGCTGTGGGTGGACCACAGAAAACCACAGCATGGATGTGGATTCTAAGGCTCCTTTTCATTCTGAGGTTCTGTGATACGGTGACCTGAGGATCATCCTAACACTATTACAAACACAAGAGCAGCGATAGGGCTGTTTTCTGAGCCCTTACTGTGCCAGGCACCGGGCCAAGCCCTTGACTTAATCATCATCCAGCAAGGCCGGAGCCGGGAGCCCTGGGTTCTCATCTCAGCTCTGACACTTACTAGCTGGGAGGCAGTGGTACAACCTTCTTTAGGTCCCAATTTGTGTAGTTTTAAAGGCAGGGCTTTGGGTGGGTGAATCACAAAACTAGTAAGCTGCAAGAAAGAAGCCAGACGCAAAAGAGGACGTGCTGTACAATTCCACACAGGAAATTCTAGAACAGCAAACTAAACAATGGTGTAGTCAGAGAAGCGATTGTAGTAGTTTTGGAAAAGGGGCAAAAGAGAACGTTATGGGATGATGGAAATGTTCTATCTTGACTGTGGTAGAGGCAATAGAACTGTATATACATTTGTCAAAACTCACAGAACTACATTTAAAAAAGATGAATCTTATATGTAAAAATATGCCTCCATTTAAACATTTCTAGTAAAATAAGGGGTTGTGACTGAATGAATTCTATTCTAAAAATGTTTTGAGTCTAGAATCCTGGATTTCTCTGCTTCCGATGTGGGATAACCCAGAGCTATTGATAACTGATGTCAGCAGGAGGGGCACTAAACCCTGTCACAGTGTGCGCTTTGCCATATCTCCCCAAGTGGCAGCAGTGCCCAGGGCCTGATTCGCAAGGCACCTGCCTGCCCCCAGGTAGGCAGGACATCAGTAACCTACATTTGGTTTTCCGTCATTTGCGTTTGAATAGTGGCTGCCATGGATCTGCTGAAATGCCTGGGACTTCTCTGGTAGGTGTCACTGTTGTCAGTGGGAGCAGGTGGGAGGCAGTTAACTAATTTAATGAACAAAAATCACAAGAAAAAAAGCACGAGAAGGAGGTGGAGGAGAGAAAGCACCAGGAGTCGCTGACTCTCAGATTACAAACATCATTTCCGTCATAGAATCTTTATTTTACAGGTTTCATCACAGCAAGAGAATTTGTCCCATACAATACCTTGACCTGATCTGCACCCGTTATGTGTGTACATAAACGCTCTTCAATGATCATTAGTGTTAAAAAAAACAATACTGAAAACCTTCTGCATCCCAATCTAGCCAGGAAAGCAAATGATATTTACAGACTTGCAAGCCTCCCTTAAATGAAACTTATTTCTGGATTAAGTATGTCCGACTTCTTCTGAGGCCACATGACTAGGCAAATGCAATTTGCAACCTGTCAAAGCTGCTTAAAGAGTCAAGAACCACCCACCTGTGTGGACAGGATTTCTGGGTCCCGTAATAGGATCTCAAATGCTAAGGAGGCTGGCCCTGTGGCTCTGATTTGCCTGCCCACAAGCATACATTTCTGCCACAGAATCTTTATTTTGCATATTTGCATCAGCACAAAATAAGCCGTCTTGGTGTGAGCTGGCTTTTCGGTTTCACACTGATCCTCACCGACTTTACCCAGAACCCCCGCCCAGGCCCCACCAGCACCCGGCCCTCGCTCCCCACGCCCGCCCCCTCAGGAGCGTGTCACAGGCCCTGGCAGTGAGCCATCTAAAAGCATTATCTGTTTTTAAGCATAAACCACACAGAGAGGGCACAAGGGCATCACCAGGCTACAAAAGTGGCCCCTGGGGAATTTGGAGAATGTTCATCTTGCTGACCAATAACTGCATTCCAGGCGGTGACAAGTTTTAGCATCAACTCAGGTGGATGTCTTTTAAAGACTCCCTGCCAGAAACACCCTAGGGAAAAACTGGAGCGAAGAGCAGATCTAGAACGTTTGATATGTTCCAGATGAATACCTTTTGATACACCGAAGAGGTATTGAGTCAAAGTCTAATTTCATGGGGAATTCTAAGTTAGTGGGAAGCCACTAACTTACTGAATCCCAAAGGGAAAGTAAAGCAGTGGGCCGCAGGCACCCTGGACTGGGCACGGTGTGCACCTGGGTCCAAGAAGAGCATGGGGGCGAGGTGTGGAGTGTGGGAACAGGGGTGGAGGAGCGGGCTGGGGGCTGCTTCCTTTGAAATTTAGCACTTGGCAGTGTGAGGCATAAACCGCTCGGCTGCTTTACTGGGTGTATGGAGCTGGGCCAACCACCTCGTATTGTCTCACGTTCTGAGAGCCTTCCTCGAAGGAAATGCTTCAGGACGGGGAGAGGGCAAGGGTACCACTGGCAACTACGACAGCATCTTTCACACTGGTCCTCGGCATGTAAGGTTGCTGGTTCCTCATAGCGGACTCTTGCAAGTACTAAAATAAGACGTACACTGTAGTGTGAAGAAAGACCCTCACATACAGCCCAAAGCAATAATACACCACATTAGTATGCACTCTTAATAAAATCCTCCTTAGCGTAGAAAATGTATCCTGCAGACAGCTGCTGGGAGAAAACGCTGCAATGCACCAAAGCCTTTAGCCCGTATTCCGGGAGTGAGCCCATGAGGCCTGGGCAGAGAGGGGTGGAGGAGGGATGGTGGAGGAGGGCGAGGGAGGGCAGGGAGTGGGGGAGGAAGGTCGCAGGACAAAGGGGAGCAGAGGTCCTGATGAGATCGCAATGCGGGAGTGGAAATTTCACCACAGCAGTCACGTGAAGGGGACTTAGGAGGCTGTGTGCTGCCTCCGCGGGCTGGACATATCTAGGGGGGAAAAACTGAGTATTTTATTCAAAAGAGGTTTCTTGAGAGAAAACTGAACTGGCTGAGGCTCTGCTTGGAGCCTGTGTCTTTAACACTGGAGCAAGCGCCTCCTTACAAAACAGTGAGCCACCAAGCCACCAGAAACACATTCAACAGCACAAAATGCTTTGCTGCTTACATTTTAAAAGCACTAGGGGACCAAGAAACAGGCTGAGCAAGTCCTTGGCCACTGTTAAGAGCCAGGATTAAGAGATCAATGATTGTTCTCGTCCAAGAAATAATTTTCTAGCAAATACGCACCCTTTATTAAATTTCACAGCCAGCAGCACTTTCAGTCCACAACAGATTTCTCAAAGGAAACATGGATATTCTGTGCAGGCAGGAATAGGGAGTAGGAGTACAAAGTGAAGCTATAAATACCACCAATGGCTCTGTGATGTGCACCCGATATTTTCTGCCCAATCCCTGAAATACTGTGCGGGCTTAACCGCTCAAACACTGTGTTACGATGAGCCCGAGCGCCCTGCGGAAAGCTACAGGAAGGCAGCTCGTTAGCTGGTGAAACCACCTGGCTTTGGACCCCTGTAGGTCATCTTTACTGGAAGACAGCTGAATGCTGGTCATGGCTACTAAGTGATGGAGAAAGAAGACAAAATTTACAGAACAAGATGGAGAGCTTAAATAATTTTTTAAAAGCCTGGAACCACCACCTGTTTTCCTAATCCTGGGCTGGGGTTTTGATTTTTCTTACTATCAGCGTGACTTCAAACCTTTTACCAGTTGCTAGGACGTGGCCAGACGACCTGCTTGTTAGGCAGGGTGTGGCCTAGACTTGTAAAAGGCCACCTTGTCTGTGCACTGCTGCTCCAGAAGGCCCAGCACTGTAAAGCTGCAGCCACGTGGCCCTACCGAGGGTGAGCCCAGAGGCGTGCACGGGATCTGAAGGACACCCAGCACCCAGGCGCACGTGCTAGCAGGAACACGAAGGTTCCAGTCTTAGCCGCTGGGCCGGACAGCGCCTGTCCACACACATGCTCCCCCCTCCCTCCTCCACTCACTGGTTTCCTTGCTTCGAAATCCCAGCATGTGAACTGAGAACACCTCCATGGAGACCCTGTCTAGGAGGGAGGTTCCATCACACCTTTTATTCTTGCCAAGGAGTCTTTCGCCCAGTCAACAACATCTGCTTGAAAGAGAACAGCAGGCGTGTCCCTCTGAAGGAAGCAGCTGGTGGTCACAGCATGAGACGCACTCCTGCAGCAGTACTCCCGCGTGCGCGCCCAGGAAAACAAAGTATTAAAAATGTTCCCATCCTCCCTCCTTTATATATAGCTCCAAGTTAATTCTTTAAAAAAGAATTCCCTTAAGTGAATCCTTCGGACGTATTTACCCTTCTCCTGAAGATGGGAAGTCACACAAATACTTCCCTAAAATCTCTGCTGGGAGGCAAGCAGCTGGGGCCCAGGAAGAGGCCCACTGCGCCACGTGAGCCAGCAGGGGGCACTGGGCAGAGCGCGGAGCGCTGAGAAAAGTGCACAGGAAGAACACCTGCTTCCTCAAGGGTCATTCAGGCAGTGAAAATGGCAGGAGGAGGGAAAACAACTATTTACTAAGTGAAGACTTTTTAGGTTCCCAAACTTGGGATAGCAAGTGTGAACCTGAATCCCGTGGTTTCTGATTTCTGGTTTCTCACCTTCTGGCCAGATGTGACGGGAGACGGTCACCCCCGAGGAGGTCCCTGTCTCCTGCAGGAGCAATCTCACCGACAAGTCCAGGCAGGGGTGGGCTCAAGCTTCCAGAAGCAGCCCATCCCAGCTGGCCCCCCAAGCCGTGTTCCTGACAAGGCCATGCCTGGGTCTTCTGGTAAGCCCGTGGTCACAACAGACCTTCGGAGCTTGTCCCATTGTTCAAGTGACCAATCTCTGAGTCATAACACTGCTCACTTCAAGCAACTGCTTGTGTTGATCCCCAAGTTCTGAAAGTTTGGAAGGGAACTTCACTGCGTTTCTGTGAAAGATTTCACTCTCCCAAAATCCCTGAGTGTAAACTGTTTAATCACACTCATTTGCTTCACATGCATACTCTTACGACATGGGGACCAAGTCTATTTAATTCCTGTACTCAGAAGTCCTACCTAACCTATAGGAACAGCTTTTTAATGAGGATGATTTGCTTGTACTTACGTGTTTGCTTAAACGCTGCCTTTCTGCCCCCAGCTGCCCTTAAGGAAAATTCCTTCTTCCTATTTTCCCCAAATTCTGATCACATAAAATAGACAGAAGCCACAAGAGAGGGAAATGAGAGATGGGGGAACTAGATGTTTAGGGAAATCCTACAGGCGAATGCTTTTTAAGCTTAAAAATAAATTTCTTTCCACCCACTAGGCAACACAGGCTACACTCAATCAAGAAAACCATTTTCCACCCCCTGGTCCCATTTCCCAGGACCCTGACCCTGACAGTGACATTGCAACCCTACAGCCTTTTTGGAAAGAAGACCACTGGGCCTCTAGAGCTATTGGATCCTGGTCACTTTCAAAATCTGGAATAAAGGTCTGGGGGAACATTCAGGGCCAGGAATGCTGGGGTAGGTGCCACAGACTACAATGGGTTAGGATTTTGCTTTCAAAAATAAACTAATTTCATTCATTTTTGTCCTCCCAAAGATGCAAGGACACTCTTGCTTTCCCTTCTGTGTAAGTCCTCAGCAGACACCTGCCCACGTCCCACAGCCGCACTCCCATCCCGTGACTGGCATCACTCACACCTCCCAGCCTCCCTCCCCGCCCACCAACCCTGCTATGCTGCCACGCGTGGGGCCACAAGTGCATACGCCTTAGAGCTCCCACCTGAAAGAAGAATTTAAATTGGAACAGATTCTTCCTGTTCTCTTCCTCCCCCCACGTCTATCCCTCCCCACCACTCCTTCCTGCAGGAGAAGTCTAGCTGCCCGTCACCGGCCACAGATGCAGCGTCCATAGGAGAGTACAAAGTTAGGTCTGTGTGGCACTTTGCTCCCAGCCACGTGCTCTGTGGTGTCACTGTCGGGAGATGCCAATAGTTCACTGTCAGGAACTGCTCTTGCTCACCAATAGGACTATTAATAAATTAAAAGTTTTCTTTGACGGTGCGCCATCCTCGAAGTCGGCCCCATCACACAGCGCCTTCCCAGTCACCCTGGGGCTCCACAGAGCCGTTGGTCACCTTCTTGACTTTCTTGATGTTCTCCATCACCCCTGACGTCGTCACTCTGAACAGGGAAGAAGAAGAAAACAATTAGGAAAATCTCACAGTCTTATAAAAAAGGTCACCTCCACACAGCACAGTGGTTAGGAGCAGTTACAGGTGCTGGCTCTAGAATCAGACGAACCTACGTTCGAATCCTGGCCTGCTCTTGCTAGGAGCTATATAACCTTAGCCAAGTCACTTGACCTCTCTATGCTTAAGTATAATAAATCTCACTTTCCAGAACTGTCATAAGGTAAAAATGAGATTCTCCAAAGTACCTAATCAATAAATACCAGCTGTCATTATTACGATCATCACTAATCTCTTTTTGTCATGACCTCCAGAATTTTTATGTTGCATACATACATGGTAGTTATGAGACTGATATCTGTACCATATTTAACAATCGCAAAAGAAAGCTAATTAGCTGTACAGACATTTATAATAACCAGCCACAATGGATCATTTCTGAGTCATGGGACAGAATTACAGGTTTAGAGGAATCTTCTGGGCCCAAAGATTCTTTTACCACTACAGAGAACTAACAGCTTTCGGCAAATCTGGGGCCTAGCCGTGCCATCAGCATGTGGCTGCTGCCTCCACTCTGAGCTCCCATTCTGTCTGCCAGTGCTTGGCGCTGAGGAGGTGCCATAGAGCCACTCGCTGAACACGATGTAAAGATGGAAGAACCCTGGTCTGACAAGGCGCAAGGAGCTACGTGAGGCAGCCATTTCCAGGGGACTGAATCCCATCTCTCAAGAGGATGCAATCTCCAAGAAGACAATCTCCTCCCTCATGAAAGGTGAGCTGGAAAGACACTAAGGTGCTCTGAATCTATGAAGGAGCCGGTAGCTCTGTAAGTAGCAGAAGAAACCAAGCGGACATACTGAGTGTCAAAAACCACTTGGCCCAGGCCTGGAAACAATGAGGCACTTATGTTCCCATCGTGGACCAACAGGAATTTCCTAATCAGTAAAATAAATTCAACTGATCAACTCAATCATCTGGAGCACATTCAGTAGGACCTCACAGTAGATGTTTTCATGGGGTAAGGGAGGAAACCCTTCCCCTTTTCTTCCTCCAGCCATTCCTGCCGCCACACTGCTGCTGTGACCAGGTTCAAAAGCCATCAAGCCCTCTCCAGAGGTGGCACCTTCCTCAAACAAGGTATTTCAGACTTGCAGGTTATTTGTATTTGTGGCAAAGTTGGGACAAGACACGTGGCTGGAATGTGGTTCTCGTGGGAACTGAGGGAGTCCCGCAGATGCTGTGAGTGTAAAAACATCCCCCAAGACAAAGGAAAACACCCGACTGACCACCCAGCACTATTTCCTGCCTGGCCTCCCCAAGAGGCGATCTGCCCCCAGGAGGAGCTGAGGCACACAGGGCTGCTCCTGAAGAAGTCTGCCCCGGGCTGGGCCACAGAGGCAAGCCTTGCCCGAGCCCCACGGCAGCAGCTCCACGTCTCCACGCCTCTTTATATCAGAAAGGAAATGCAACCTCGTGTCTTCCAGAGACGCTCCTGGTAATAATGCAACTATCCTATGGTTACAGCACCTTGTTAAAAAAGGACACAGAGTTCAACGCACACTGGCATTGAAAGGAAAGCACACTCGCTGTGACCCAGGCACGGCTGACAGTGTGCTTGGCAGAGACATTTTGCACCTTTCTCTCCTTAAGAAAATATTCCTTTCCAGATGGTGGACCAAGTGAGAAAACAGCTTCTATTCTTTCAAGACAGCCCTGGTGCTAGGTCACAGAGGAAAAAATGGGACTGCTGCTCTTAGGGAGGCCACAGCCCAGTAAAAGAGATAGTTTTCCCAAGCAACGACACAAAGCCACGTACAACACAGCAGCGCCAGGAACCAGGCTCGGCAGTGGCTCAGGATGAGAAGAATCCCCTCGGCCCGGGGAACTGGGGAAGCTGTGCTGCGGGCACTGAAAGATGAGAAGCAACTGGTGAGGAAGATGGGGCGGGGGTCGGACAGTTTCTGAACAGAAGAAATACAGTAGCAAGAGGCATGGGGGGAAAAGCCACCAAGTCTCCCAGAGCAGTCGGAGAATGCTGGGTAGCCGCAGTCGTGTCTCCGGCCAGCCCACGAAGGAAAGGAGCAAGAGAGTCGGGGCGGACTCGGGCGGGCTGCGGAAGGCCCTGTCTGCCTTGCCTGGAGTACAAACGTGATTCTCACTCCAGGGGTCTCAGCTCCGGCTCTGGCTCAGGTGGCCCGGGAAGTTAAGCACATATACCGAGCCCAGGCACTGAGCATAGGTCTCCAGGGGAGTGGCCAGGGAACCTACACCATAACAACACTCCCCACGTGATCCTGGCAGCCCAGGAGAATGGACAGGAAGGGGAGGTTTCCAGAGGTGACAGGGGAGCGGGGCTGAGAGACATGATGTTACGCTCATGAGACATGGCCACTCACCCACACTGGCTGAGGAAGAGGGAGGTGTTTCAGCCACCACCTGCCTTCTGCTGTTGGCTACAGGTAGATAGTGGTGGCACTAAGGCCCGTGAGAACACCAGGGAGAGGCACACAGAGGGACCTGCTACTCAGGAGGGCGACTGGGCTGGAGCTGGGGAGTGGCAGCGAGGAGATGGCTGGGGCCACCTTGGAGTTGGGTGAGTACAAGGAACGAGAGGAAGAATAGGAGTAAGGGCGTGTGAGAGCACAGGGAGGATGTCAAAGGTGGGGCAGGTGACAGTGAGGTTCAGTGTGTGGCCAGGACCAAGACCAGCTAAAGTGAGCTTAAGTAGGTAAAGAAACCTGATGGCACATGGGGTGGGGAGGAGACTGCATCTCATTCCCCCTGGCAAACCTGAGACGTTAAAGGGTGACCTGGGGCCCCAGTGCCTCAGGTGAGCCTGGCCAGCCCCTACAGACATGGCTTCAGCCGTCCTCCCTCAGCTCAGACACTGCAGCAGCGAGAAAGGACACCTAAAGCCTCCTCAGCAGGGACACACGGTCGTAGGGCTTTAACAACTTCACAGGCTGCTCCCTGGGCGTCCCAGTTTTGGTGCAAAGGCTTACAGGGCCAAACAGCTGAAGAGCCAGCATCCGGCCAACAACCTGCAGCACAGATCACCATCTCAGATGCCCCGTGGGGGCAGCGCGGGAAGGTGCTCCACAAGGCCCAGGCTCAGCAGTGAGCAGGGCAATTCACAGTGTGAACTCCAACTCTGCAGATCTAGGGATGGGCCTGGAGCAGCTCAGGGCACAGAAGTGGACCACCTCACCCTGCAGGTGGAAGGGAGGCTTGCCCTTCTTGCTCCATGTTCCCTCCTCTCACCCCAGGTGCATACCTGCATCACAGCACGGCAACACGACACTTGGCCACGCTGTCCCCACTCTGGAGGGCTGATGGAGCTGCTCACAGCCAGGTGCCAGCAGACTCAGCACACGGGGACATGCTGGCCTCTCTACCTGCCAAACCCACCGCCTGCTTCTGGCAGAAGCTGTTTGTTTCCTCTGGTGCTGCTCAGGTAAGCAGTTCTTTGACTGACTTCAGGAAGGCACCTGCCTCAAGGGCCAGTGGCTCCTAAGCTGGCCAGAGGCGAGAGGCCTCAGTGTCAGCCAAGCAGAGGCGCTGCCTGTGGGCCCAGCACAGGTGAGTCTGCGGAGGACGCAGGGGAAGCTGAGCAGATGAACCCAGGCTGCCTCCAACTTTCGCTCCACATCTAAATCATGACATGTCCCCTACCCCCCACACCGCCACCCTTTCCTTGCAAAGCCCTAGTGTCTATGCTCACGAGCAAAAGTGCTGAATGGAACACAGGCTCCTTCTGCCACACCAGCCTGCCATCAGAGGTGGCCTGAGTGACCCATAGGTGCATGTGTTTCAATAAATAAAAACTATTTTCCAGGCCGGGCGCGGTGGCTCACGCCTGTAATCCTAGCTCTTGGGAGGCCGAGGCGGGCGGATTGCTCAAGGTCAGGAGTTCAAAACCAGCCTGAGCAAGAGTGAGACCCCGTCTCTACTATAAATAGAAAGAAATTAATTGGCCAACTGATATATATAATATATAAATTACGGGCATGGTGGCGCATGCCTGTGTCCCAGCTCGGAGGCTGAGGCAGAAGGATCGCTTGAGCCCAAGAGTTGAGGTTACTGTGAGCTAGGCTGACGCCACGGCACTCACTCTCGAGCCTGGCACCAAAGCGAGACCTGTCTCAAAAAAAAAAAAAAAAACTATTTTCCAGATTTGAAATGTGGAGAGGCCCGGATAAGAGAGAATCCTATTAGTCTCCAATTCCCATTTCCACTTTTGTTCCCACCCATCTGAAAGAAGTAGTGACAATTAACAGCAACCTTTAGGACAGCGTCTTGGAACGGGAACTCCAGCAGACCCACTTCCTTGCCTGCGAACCCACAGCAAATATTTCTTCCCACTCTCACTCCTCACCATGACAGAAATAATTCAGATCACTGAGGATATGCACAGCATAGGAAGCAGCTACCAAATCCGATCATTATAATTGCATCTAGTGCTTTTTGACATGCCGATTATTTTAACAACAAATTTGTATGCCTAATGAGAGATGTTCAAAGAAACACAGAAAGTTAGCATGACTTTTGCTCATTCCCAGGCTCAGAGAGAAGCTATGTTAAGGATAACGGCTGTGGGGCCCTGCGGACCTGGGCTAGGGGCGGGTGGAAGCAGCTCTCGGGGAAGCTCTCTGCCCCCAAGGAGAGCACGGCTCGGTCCTGGGCTCAGCTGGCAAGACTCACTCCCCAACACGCTGCAGTCCCATAGCTCAGCTTCAGATAAAGGTGAGAACAGATGCAAAAGAAGCTGCCAGAATCTCAGTCGTAAGGTCAGTGAGTGACCCAGGTCAGAGTTCATGTCCTCCCACTGGCTAAGACTCATTAGGAAGAGCGTAGATTTGTTTCAGGGGGTGTGTTGTGGGAAACAAGAGGGTGGAAGTCATAAAAAATATTACATCCCATAAAGAGGTACTTTGTTCTGTGGCAGGGATCGGACCTGCCTCCCCTTTTCAGAAAACACCTACCAATGTGCATGACACTTACAGAGAGCTAATGACCTTCTAGAACACAGAGGCAAGGGCTCTGCTCGCCTCTGGCTTGGGTTATTTCTGGAGGACTGGAGTGGCGCCATCCAGGAACAGCACTTCCAACAGCACTTCTAGGGAGATGACAGTGCGGCCGCCGCGCCGTCCCCCAGAAGCTGTAATTAGCCTTTGCGCGCCTCACTGGCAGGTGAACGTGGATGGGTGACGGCAGTGCCTCCATCTCAGGCCCGTCCTGCTCTGTCACATCTCATACATCCATAGGACTCTCCTCTTATTCTTAGCTAAAGAGAAACGCCAGAAGAACTTCCCCAGAACCATTCCTTGCTGATTTAAGAGCACTTTGCCTCAATGCCTCCGAAACGACTTCTGTTTTGTAGGCTAGCCTGAGCTAGTGCTCACTGGAGAGACCACTGCTCCCAACAAGCCGTCTTCGGGGCAGGCTCTCTGCAGCTGTTCCACACAAAGCCTTCTGCCGCTGAAGAGCTCACCTCACACTTATGGTACGGCTCACACTAAGCCGCCCACTCTACATGACCGAGCGCCCTTCCCCTTGTCACAGAGGAGCGTAAACTGAGGCGTCCCTGACTCCCACACGCCAAGCTCTCCCAAGTGTCACTAGAATAAAGAACACACACTCTAGTTCCTGCTAGGCTGGTGGTTGTGCATCTACTCCCTCCCCCACCCCTCCTCCTGCTAAAATGACTGCCACTAGCATCAAATGTCGTCAGAGAGAAACAAACACCAAAACAAAATTTTACAAAGTTTTGCCATGAGACAAAACGTCTTCACAATGCATCCAGACTTCAAGATGCAATGGCTGAGGGAAAGGACATGGGGGACTACCGAGAGATGCTATGACCCCACCGTTCAGCTTCCTGAGAGGAAGGCACTGCCTGAGAAACTGCAGATGGCTGCGGCTACGAACAAGCTAAAGGTCTCCCAGCAGGAGACAGAGAAACACATTGTGTTTAGGTTACTGACACTGCTACTTGCCAGACTGACTCTCATTTGTGTGTTTTCAACCAACAGTCACTTGCTCAGACCCTGCTACTTCTAGAAAAGGCACGTCTGGTGGTCCTCTACTCTTCCCTCCATTGTCTATAAAAAGGTCTTTCTTCCTGTGCACAGGGACATGCTGGTTGGCCCACCAGCAGGCCCTGCCTCTGTCTACCATCCCAGCAGTGGAGCTGAGCAGAGAGCCGCCCATGCTGCTTGACACCGAGCAGAGCCAGCAGGGGCTGAACCTCAGCCTCTGAACTGAGAAAAAGCAAAAGGCTGCCAGTGCTAGGGCAAACACTCCACACCAGTGACACGAAAAGGGAAAACTCAGCCGTAGGCTAATCACCAAACACAACAACTGACCAGGCTTATCAGACTGCAGAGTTCACAAGCAAATACACGTAATCATTATTCACATTTCTAGAAAATGATTGCCCTTTCCCAGGAAATACGGCCCTAGAGTCACTTACCCTTACTCAGAAAAGCCCGTATGACAGGGCGAAGTCACTGTACTGGCTGTGAAAGCCACTTAGTTATCTGATGACAAAGGATGTTTCAGCATCATTAGCAGACTCACACATGACTCAGAAGATTATATTTTCAGAGACAAGCTGACGGTGAGGCCTGACAGGAAGCGCAGCTGCCTGCTCTCAGTAGTCCTGACCCAGCCAAGTACCTTCCCAAGTCCTTCCCACTGAGTTGCTGAAGCGGCCACCAGTGACGCTTAGTAGGATGGCAAGTTCCCATCCTCCCCGACAATACCGAGCCATTGGCAGATACTGTACTTCAAACTGAATGAGAGCACCTGGGGCTTCAGTGTCCATTTCCTGCTGCTAAAAATAGAAGAACCACCTCTGGAGCAACACAATGCTGAGAACAGCTGGTCCAAGTCACACTGTGCTATCGTTTGGTTAGGTAAAGGGGTCAGAAAAAAGGAAGAGAGAAAGAAAGGAGATTTCTTACACAGATTCCATTTCCAAGTCATCTTCTTCCTGAGAAAGTTGCAGGTAGGGGTTATCTGAAGCTGGACGGAATTTATACCCCGTTAGAACAAAGAATACCAGCGTGGCCGTTTCATCCAGGAGCTGCAAGTTTAAAAACCACACCAAAATAAAGAGATTAGCAACACTGTTCTTCAGAGAGCAGTGGAACTAAACAAATGGACGTACTCCCCCGCAACCCACCCCTGCTGACTGCTCACTCACATGTCAGAGTTTACTCTAGAGAGCATTTTCCTCAACTTGCTGAAGCCTAAACTAGGAGCATCCTGCTCAGAGACGAAAGTCATGCTTTTCCTTGCTCGAACCAGTCTTCACTGGTAGCTTTTAAGAGCTCTTTATATACCCACATTTCCTATAGCACCAAGTTCTTCTAGAAAAAAGTCTCCAAATCATGTGGTGGCTTACTCTACCAGTTAAACTAGTTCTAACATATTGCAAAGACACTTTATTACTGAAACAATGATAATCTGCAAATAGGAAGGGAGGCTGACTCTGAACTGTCCTAAGCCCTGCAGCTGAAGGCAAAGACCACACCTCATCTAAAATTCTAATTATACAGGGCAAGTCTTATTCCCTCTGCCTGAAGCTTTTCTCTTCAAAGACTTTTAAGACTGAAAACTAAAATCAATAATGCAATTATTTTCAGATTTCTCACATAATCCTGCAGCTTTCCTGGACAAACAGAAAATCCCAATTGTAGACCAGAAGAGATGGAAGGTCTTAGTGGTCATTCCCAGATAAATTAATAACAACATTAAGTTATAAATCCTCTGGCACTGCCCCCTGTGAACAGCATACCTGGTAGAGCCACTTCCACTGGAATGGAACAGCAAGTTTGAGGAGAAATGCAATAATCCTGGTGAAGTATATGTAACACACAATCTATATGAAAGGGAAAGAAACAGAAAAGAAAATCAACATAAAAATCAGGGTACCACTTTTGCTTTCACAAATTAACTATGGAATAAAAAACAAATCACCCAAGGAAAAGCACCTGATACTTACAGTGCTTAGCAATAAATGTAGAGTGACGCTGCTCTGCCAGTTACACCTGAAAGGATTTCTTCACTATCTCCAGGTGACAGAGACATTGACAGTCACACCCACAGGGAGGACAAGACACTTTAGCAGTTGTTGTTAACCTTTCCTCATCTTAACCACAGCCCCTTGATTTCAATCTCCAAAGGGCAGTACTTTTATTCCTAGACTCTGAGGAATATTTACAGCAGTAACAGCTAAGTGGAGCCACACGGGGCAATACTAACTTACTAACTTCCAGTCTCGTCACTAGCAGATGCTGGCAACGTTTGAGGCAGTTCAAATACTATCAAGCACTCTAGCAAGGAGGGATGGCCTTCATTTCTTCTCCCTGGGACCAGGACTCAACATTGCGGCCAGTAGCGCATGGGCTGCTCACAGGGTTCGAGTGGTCAGTTTGTGGGCTGGGCCAGACACACTTGGGTTTCAGGCATGAAGGCCCACTATTCAGGCCTGGCTGTTGAGGGCCACTCATCACTGTTCCCGCATGCAACAAGAGAGGCTCTGTGACAATGCCTACACCTGTCACAAAAATCCACAGAAAAAACCCAACCAACCAACCAATCCGAGTGGGTAGTGTGCCCCTGCTTCTCTACTGCTAAAGTCTCTAACATTGGCTCAGGCAAAAGAACTTCCCCAAGTGATAGTCAACGCCAAAACCACAGATAGAAGACATGGAAACTTCCTTTTAAGAGTCAGGAAGCAAACTAACTCTAGAAGACCCCTACCTTCTATATTCTAAGACATTATGACACTAGTGGTTTACAGCAGGTGCAGTGTTTGGCACTATGGGACGTTTCATGTCCCTCATAACCCTGTTTTTAGGTTTTACAAAAACTGTCTCAATTTTTCTGTTCTTAAGGTAAATATTATTACTGTAACATGCAACTAGTTTTCTGTAGGGAAATCTGAAAGGGGTACATACTCTTAATACTTTTTTAAATGGAAAAAAAAAAGGCTGAAGAGCATGATTTGATCCCATTTTTCTAAATGAATAAAAATAGCAAGTCAAATGAGCAGCTAGATATGGCATATGCCTAAGAAACCTAGAGAAATAACCACTCAACCGCTAACAGTTATTACCTTGGGGAGGGCAGGAAAGGGAAGTAGGAGACCAGGGTTTATACAGGCTCCACTGTGTTTCTGTCATCTCTGCATATTTTTTTTTTTTACATCAAGCTTGTATCACTTTTCTAAGTATTTAAAGCCAAATTTTAAATTAAAAGTAATCCAGATATTTAATTTCCCATCTTAAGAGACACAGCTTGATTTTATGAAATGAAACCCACACAGCACCAGGTAGTACAACATCTTGTGTTTTCACCAATTCTTTGGAAGTTCATTTGCCTTGAATTGATTTTATTTACAGATTCAGTGTTTTTTTTACTCACCAAGACGTAATAATGTCTGAAAAGTTTCAGCTTTGCTAAGTTAATAGCAGCTAGGGAAAAGAAAGAACAAAATGAAAGGCTCATTAACTTTTCTCATTTTGAAAAGCAAGTCCCATTCAGGCACCCTCAGTCAGAGCCACGTCCAGTGCAGACGAGTACCACGCGGAGGCTCATGCGTGTAACTGGACACAAACTTCCTGGGCAGGCTCCCCACAGTCACCAGGAGGAACAGGGAGTTGTGGGGCAGCACAGCTGTGGTGACCTAGAACTGGCTTGCACCGGCGACTTCTGCTCTGGGGTCAGCAGCTTGAACCGGGCCACAGTGGAAGCGTATTTTCATCATAGGAATCAGCACACGCTACACATCAGGACCCTCCCTGGCTCCAGAGAGCCCACAGTAAACATTTTAGCTCTGCACAGAGCTGTGACCTCCACTAGGACCAGCCTCAGGGTGATCACAGAGTATCATCTGAGGGAGCCTCCCACTAGCTGAGGGTATAAATTCAGTGAACCCACAGGTGAATTTTGTAAACTTCACTCCGGTTTTCAGTAAGTAACTTGTAATGAGCCCTTTGAATACAACCTCCCTATGTCCTACCTTTGCAATTGCTCAAGGTCAGCCTCACCAGGACAGCTGACTTCCTGACACTGCCTCAGGCTATGAAATATTGATGACCAGAGGGCAGCCTGGCTCCCTCCCAACAGCAACCCTTCCATTCACCATATACCTTCCTGCAGGAGGCAAATTAATTTTGCTTAATAGCATTCAATTACTGACTAAGGTTAAGAATGGGACCGTGGGTGGCGCAGGTTCGAATTTCCTCTTCCTCCTCCTCCTCCTGGCTCATGATTAGTGGCGGGCACTCAAGCTTAGGATTCCAAAAGAAATTCCTGGAATCCTAAATTATCTTTAAGACGATTATCAACTAACAGTATCTGCAAGAACCTCCTCTGAGAAACTGAATGCATTAATGAGAGGACGTTCAGAAAGTCAGTCAGGAGAATTCTGACTCTCATAGTCGAGAGGATAGAACACACCCACCCCTGACGCTGCAGGGGCCCCCTCTTCAGATGCACGGTCTGAAGCAGCAACATCACAGCAGGCAGATCAGCAAAGGATTTCTTATCTAGCAACCTCTCTGGCAGTCTTGTTATTGTTTTTATTATTATTAAACCTGTCTGGTTCTCATCTCTTTTTTAATTCAGTCAATGCAAACTCACGGAGCCCCATCCGAGCCAGGTCCTGGGATACAGCAGTGAACGTGGCAGCTGCCATCCCATGGGGAGAGGGGCACTGAAGCACACGCCATCCCTCACTGAAGGATGTGCACGCAGAGCCAGTGCCGGATCATGCAATCAGTGCTTCTCCTCAGCTGCGGGGACGGGAAAGGCTTCACCAAGGACAGGATGTGAAAACTGAGAAGTGTCATTGGATAAAGAGCTCCAGAAGACTTAAAACTTTGCCCATTTGTAGGAACCTTCTGCATCCTTTTGGGGGTGCAGCTCTCCTGCTCGCACTGGCAGAGGTCAGGGAAACAACCAGCTCCTGCTGCACCTGCCCCAGCAAACCTGCTGTCCAATAGGAACTGCAGACCCCCAACCGAGCTAAATACTTCTTGAAATGTGAGCACTCAATTCTCTTCTCTGTGAATAACTGAGAAAAATGGCACCAATAATTATAAAAATGCTTTAAAACTTTCTTCTAAATTTTGCCTGCTGAAATAAGTCCTGAAAAATGAAAACTCCTACCTTGCTCCACTAAGAAGCATCAGCCAGACAGAGAAGTGTCATGTTTTTATTCCTGGATTTCCAAGTGCCATGACAAAAATAAGCCTGGGCTCCCAACTAGACTGGGGGAAGGGCCAGAGAATTTCCCAAAGGGCATGGACAGAGCTCAGGAGTAAGCCGGAGTCGGAGAATCCAAGTGGAGAGAATGCTCGGGAACCCAGCAGGCACAAAGGCTCAGAGGCCAGACAGCTTCATGGACCAGGAAGAGAAGGTGGCTCAGTGTGGCTATGCCTGATTACACCATGGAGAGGCCAGGAAATGGGCCTGGGCTAACAGCAAAGACAAAAATTAAGACACAGAAGACCATGAGCTTGTTCTCCTTGTTGGTTTTGAGGGCCCCCAGGGAGCCTGTAAGTTGTTGTTGTTGTTTTCTTTTTTAGACTAGTCAAGTGAGAAGGAGGAAAGAGAACAAGGAGTTCAATCTGTAACTGACTGTGAACCATCAACTGATTCATGAAGCGGTATTGAGTGTTCGAGTTCAAGAAGAATTGAGTATTCGCGTTAAAGAAGTATTGAGTGTTCTATCTTTGGACCATCCTGCAAAGGGTTTTAAGCAGGGCAAAGCCACAATCATATCTACATTTTAGAACAACCTCTTCTGTGGAGAAAGAATAAAGAGAAATAAGAGTAAGAGCCCAACTGAGGTCAAAGAACTTGAATGTGGGGAGGCCCCTCTAGAAGATGGGGAGATCTCTATCTACCGGTGTGGAGTGATCAAGGCTCGGGTGTGAACAGGCTGACCGCCCGGCTGGGAAGAAGGACGCAAAAGGCAATGAAGCTGAGGCCCCCAGGTAGAGCGCCAAGTCTGACGGTCCCTCCCTTCCACAGGGAAGGAAACTAGGTGGGAGGAGTGAAGGCACTGCAGGTAAAGGCGTAAGGAATGAGCGTGGGGGCTGAGAGCAGGGAGCGGCAGGCAGGCCGGCATCCCCCTGGCATCCTGGGCCACAGTCACAACCTCCAGGCTACCTCCTGCAGGTATTTATTTATGAATCACTCCATAAATGAGTCTGTACGCCCTACACCCGAGCACTGACGAAGAAACATCACCACGGCACAGATGCCAGGCCACCAGGATACATGCTAGGGCTGATGAACAGACCTTGGGAACAACCAGCGCTGTCTCTGAGAAAAGCAGCCACAATAAACACAGCTTATGGTTATTTCCAAAACCCACCAGGCATGGTGATGTCATTTGACGAGACTGCTGCTTCCAAGCAGGCTCCCGAGTCCCACACTGGTGTGACTGGTGTGCCAGTTATAGCCGAGCCAGCAAGGGCAGGGAGTGAGCGTACTTAGAGGAAAGCAAACAGGAGAGCAGAGTGGCTAAGAGCACAGGCCCTGCACGTCTGGACATCCTGGGCTCCAATTCCAACTGTGCTGCTTACTGGCTCTGTGACGTCAGATGAGTCGCCTAAACTCTCTGAGCCTCAGTTTCTTCATATATTAAGGCAGGAGTAACAACCCTTAGGGGTTGCTGGGAGAATTAATGAGACAGTGCATGGAAAGCAAACAGCTCACAGTTAGCAGTCGAGTATCTGGTGTTGCAGTATTAGTATTATATAGGATTAGTCCAATACCAAATGTGGCATATACTGTGTCACAGCAGCTGCCACATCTGGCAGGAATCCAATGAGCAAAACTGGAGCAAATGGGGACCTGGGGACTACCAGAGCCTTGGCTCTGCTGGAAGCAGGGCTGCCATATGCACACGATGAGTAAGGATGCTGAGCAGGGCTGAACCAGCTCCAGGAGGTGAAACCTCACTCGTGTTATGCAAGGAGCGGAAAGGCAGCAGGTCACGGCCTGGAATCCCAGGCCTCCCTTTGCTTTGCTTCCAAAGATTTCTCCGGAGTGAAGGCGGCTGACAGCTCGCTGCTCACTGGACTAGAGGGCGTGGGCTCCCCCAGGCTGGGCTACTGCTAACGCTACCACAAAGAGCAGCAAATATGGGGAAAGAACGAGCCTGGGGAGAGGACAAATGCCCAGGAAGGAGGCAGGAGACATGCAACTCCAACCTGCACCATCACGGCTCAGCGTGCCTGTCCTGGCCTGCTGCTTCGTTCTCCAGGCATCAGACTCCACATCTGGAGAATTTCTTTACAGCAGATCAGAATTTCTCATGGCAACGGCTCCTAATCAGGGAGAGCGCCAGAATCACCTGGAGAGCTTTATTAAGCACAGATGCCCAGGCTGCCCCTCATTCTTACGGAATCAGGCCTGGCTATGATGATTTTGAAACACCTGCAGAGGAGTGGGGAAGAGAGGGATCGTCTCCACCTGCTCCAGGAGATCCTACAAGACTGACCTCCTGTGCATTCCTCTTCCTCCCACGCACGCTGAGGAAAATGACCAGGACTCTTGATTTTGGCAAGTACTTACTGACAGGAATGGAACAAGCGCCCGCTGAGGCAAGAGGTGCCACAGCCCTTGCAAATGCTCAAGTCAACACTCTCTCTGTCTGACCCAGGAGCAAAAGAGCCAAAGCGCACCCTCTGCAGGGGGCACTGGTCCTCCCCTAGCTGGTCACCTGTCCTGTCTGAATCACAGAGGAACTATGCAGGCCAGCAAAGAGACAGATCTCACCCTCCTCACCCCTAGCTGACTTCCCTGGACGATCCTGAAACTATGACAATGACAAAACAACAGTATTAGCTGTCACCACTGATTGGGTGATCACCATGTGCCAGGCATCAAGCCAGGCACTGCCCGTGCTTCATCTCACGATAACCTCTCTGAGGGAAGCAGTCTGGTAAGTAGTCAGGCCTGGAGAAGTTTAGCAAATTACCAAAGCCATAGAGCTTGCAAGTGTTGAGAAACTAATACTCAAACCCAAGCCCACCTCCCTACAAGGACCAAGCTCTTAACACCTACACTTTGCACTAAGAGAAAGGCAATTCATAACTTTACAATCCACTGGCAGTTCAGGGAGAAGCAATCATGATTCAGACTGCCGGGCAATGCCCAGGAGCTGCCAGCCATCCATTCTAAGGAGTTAATGCCGCATGATTTATGGGATACACAGAAGCAAAGGCCCACAACAGCCACTTTAAGGGTGAAAAATTTCCAAAACAATACTTCCCTCGGTGTTAAGGAAAGCCTTAAGGCTTAAAACATCTCCACCTACCCATCATCCTTTATTCCTGCTTCCTCTCTGCTGTGCTTCAGGGGAATTTTGAGTCAAACAGAAAAATTAAAGAACTAAAGATGATGGCAAAGCCTGGATGGCATCAGAGTCCCTCTGACTCACTCTGAATCTCAACGT